TGTGAGAGTTGATAACAGACACGGAAAGGCAAGATGAATTGATAGTCGCGCATAGGCTAACATGCAAAGGGGTGTGTCACCATGCTATGCATCCAGCATTGCTTCCACGCACTACGGAATTCTGCTTATTTTACTTATCATTAGCATCTACGACTCGGGTGATGCTACTTCCAGATAGTGAAAGAGAGTATATATAATTTAATCTTCTGTAGTGACAACTTAGTGTCACCAGAAACCACGCTTGCACATACCAAATCACGGGTCGGTACGGTAGCACGCCGGGCTGGGGTTGGTGACTCTAAAAACCCTGTCCAAACCCAGAAATCAAGGATGAGTGGTACTGGATAGCATATGAGGCGTACTCTCCATCTTTCCGGGATGATCATCAGCGGACGACGAGTATTTCATACAATTCACAGGACTAGCTCATTGCCCTAAAAATCAGCGTAGCTACCCTGCCTCAAAGAAGATACCAGTTTGAGTCGCTAAACTACATCCATGGTGAATGCTAGTGAAGAACCCCCCCCCCCCTATAACCGGCCATTCGGGCTGATATACCCCGCCCCCCCCTGGACAGAGTTGCCTAGACACAGAGCATCAGTCTAGGCGAGCAGCTACCGAGATGTTCAACATCACGGGTAGCTCTCAACATTGGACGGGGGTCCGGGGATCAACATTGAAGACACCGATTGGCAAAACTGCATCATCCGAGAATCGAACTCGGGTCACAACGATGGCAACGTTGTATTCTACCACTAGACCAATGATGCCAATAAAATAAACTTTGCAACGCTTACCTGGCCAGTGAAAATGCATTATCTATGGAAAAATAGTTTCCGATGCGGGGACTCGAACCCCGGTCGCGTGGGTGAGAGCCACGAATCCTAACCAGCTAGACTACATCGGAAGGCTGCAAAGCGGAGTCTATAGGCTAGTGCCAGTTATTATACACACCGAGACAATGATGACGGATTCCTAACCGCTACCCAAAACACGTACACACGTGCGCACTTCCCAATTTAGTCCAACCGTATGAAAGGAGCGCTCAGAGACTTCGCTTGGGAAACTCGTTGGAGATGCTCGCGCAACTTTGAAGCATCCACGTGATCAGTCAAGGGCTCTGCTAATGAAAATTCATGCCCTGCTTTGAGCCCTTCCCATTCCTTCCCATTTCCTGGCTCTCTTGCGTAGCCACATCATGCACTCCCCGTGTGAGAGTTGATAACAGACACGGAAAGGCAAGATGAATTGATAGTCGCGCATAGGCTAACATGCAAAGGGGTGTGTCACCATGCTATGCATCCAGCATTGCTTCCACGCACTACGGAATTCTGCTTATTTTACTTATCATTAGCATCTACGACTCGGGTGATGCTACTTCCAGATAGTGAAAGAGAGTATATATAATTTAATCTTCTGTAGTGACAACTTAGTGTCACCAGAAACCACGCTTGCACATACCAAATCACGGGTCGGTACGGTAGCACGCCGGGCTGGGGTTGGTGACTCTAAAAACCCTGTCCAAACCCAGAAATCAAGGATGAGTGGTACTGGATAGCATATGAGGCGTACTCTCCATCTTTCCGGGATGATCATCAGCGGACGACGAGTATTTCATACAATTCACAGGACTAGCTCATTGCCCTAAAAATCAGCGTAGCTACCCTGCCTCAAAGAAGATACCAGTTTGAGTCGCTAAACTACATCCATGGTGAATGCTAGTGAAGAACCCCCCCCCCCCTATAACCGGCCATTCGGGCTGATATACCCCGCCCCCCCCTGGACAGAGTTGCCTAGACACAGAGCATCAGTCTAGGCGAGCAGCTACCGAGATGTTCAACATCACGGGTAGCTCTCAACATTGGACGGGGGTCCGGGGATCAACATTGAAGACACCGATTGGCAAAACTGCATCATCCGAGAATCGAACTCGGGTCACAACGATGGCAACGTTGTATTCTACCACTAGACCAATGATGCCAATAAAATAAACTTTGCAACGCTTACCTGGCCAGTGAAAATGCATTATCTATGGAAAAATAGTTTCCGATGCGGGGACTCGAACCCCGGTCGCGTGGGTGAGAGCCACGAATCCTAACCAGCTAGACTACATCGGAAGGCTGCAAAGCGGAGTCTATAGGCTAGTGCCAGTTATTATACACACCGAGACAATGATGACGGATTCCTAACCGCTACCCAAAACACGTACACACGTGCGCACTTCCCAGTTTAGTCCAACCGTATAAAAAGAGCGCTCAAAGACTTCGCTTAGGAAACTCGTTGGAGATGCTCGCGCAACTTTGAAGCATCCACGTGATCAGTCAAGGGCTCTGCTAATGAAAATTCATGCCCTGCTTTGAGCCCTTCCCATTCCTTCCCATTTCCTGGCTCTCTTGCGTAGCCACATCATGCACTCCCCGTGTGAGAGTGGATAACAGACACGGAAAGGCAAGATGATTTGATAGTCGCGCATAGGCTAACATGGAAAGGGGTGTGTCACCATGCTCTGCATCCAGCATTGCTTCCACGCACTACGGACTTCTGCTTATTTTACTTATCATTAGCATCTACGACTCGGGTGATGCTACTTCCAGATAGCGAAAGAGAGTATATATAATTTAATCTTCTGTAGTGACAACTTAGTGTCACCAGAAACCACGCTTGCACATACCAAATCACGGGTCGGTACGGTAGCACGCCGGGCTGGGGTTGGTGACTCTAAAAACCCTGTCCAAACCCAGAAATCAAGGATGAGCGGTACTGGATAGCATATGAGGCGTACTCTCCATCTTTCCGGGATGATCATCAGCGGGCGACGAGTATTTTATACATCTCACAGGACTAGCTCATTGCCCTAAAAATCAGCGTAGCTACCCTGCCTCAAACAAGATACCAGTTCGAGTCGCTAAACTACATCCATGGTGAATGCTAGTGAAGAACCCTTCCCTATAACCGGCCATTCGGGCTGATATACCCCGCCCCCCCCCTGGACAGAGTTGCCTAGACACAGAGCATCAGTCTAGGCGAGCAGCTACCGAGATGTTCAACATCACGGGTAGCTCTCAACATTGGACGGGGGGGGCCGGGGATCAACATTGAAGACACCGATTGGCAAAACTGCATCATCCGAGAATCGAACTCGGGTCACAACGATGGCAGCGTTGTATTCTGCCACTAGCTGCATTGAACCGCAGCTGGTTCGTGACACGAATCACGTGTTCAAGTTCGTGCTACTTACTCCACATCAAGTTTTCTAGCGCTCAGTCCATAGCTCTGTTGGCGATTCCCCAGTGTTTGTAATCGTTCAAGGATTCTCAGGTTGCATATTCGCGAGCTCACCAGCCAGTTGCTGTAATACACCTTGTAACTGGTGTAATACACCGGATGTATGGCCCCGCCTCCATGCTCAACACTATGAATAAACACAAGACTGTCATAATGAGGTGTGTGAACGATATATCGCCAAGTGCATTCTATATCTGCTTCTTCGTTCATATTAACAGAGCCTACATTCTACTATCTAGGCAGAACTAATGCCAACAACTGAAGAACCTCTAGCTGTGGGCGACATAGAACAGACACATTCAAAACTTAAGCTTTATCATCCAATTTATCTGCCATAACCACAGGATTCGCCTTCGCCAATTTCCGACGCTCGTTGGTCTTGTAGTCATAGTCACATTGGTGAGCCTCTGCATACCTACTCATCAACGTAATATCTAATACCGGTGCGAGGATTGCTACCTGTGTGTTGAACAGAAGTAATAACCGCATCGACATCTAACACCGGTAAGGCCGATGCGTTTCCCGCATGTCCAGCACCTGATAAGACAATCTATTTCACGAACTGCACGATGCTGATCAGAACGATCCGTACTGGTCGATCGTATGATTTGTCATAAGTATAATATAGATGCCCCTTACCGATTAACATCACTCTGCACTGGCCGGTCATCACTCGCCTCTACCAATTCATCAACTTTCTCGGCCTCTAGACGGGCCTTCTCCTCCTAGAAAGTAGTCCCATACTAGATCGCCCCAAACCACATGAACGGGTTGTGCATGAGGTGTGCAAGCCGTTATAGTCAGGTATCAACTCCTACCGCATCTTCCTTCTCTTTCTCCTCCTTCTCTTTAAGATCTTTCCAGCATTTAGAGCAGTAATTATTGGTGCCAGGGTTACCAAAGAAGCCACACCCGCCTTTGCATGGTACAGGAGCAGCATTCGATGATGCCGCTGTTGTTGATGATGTAGACGCCTGAAAAGACAAGATAGCAGCATGTAATGTACAGATCACGTCAACTATTACCTCTTGAGGTACCTCCATGCTAACATCGTTGCTATTGGCCGGCTTAGGGCCCTTGATCAGCAGCAACGTGCTCTCAGTCACAATTTTCCTGGTTGATAAGGTATCCTCGTCTTGTAAATGCTTACCTGAGTTACTCAATACACCTCGTCTATCGCGTCAGATGTACACTATAGCTAAGAAGAGACCGACCTCCCACCTTTGTAAAATATCTTCATCTGAACCGCTGGGATGGAGCAATGTTCAGACCGAGAAGCTAGACGCTTCAATTCAGCTATCTGAGGAGTGATGTACATGCCCTCACGATATTCAGTAAATGAATAATCAAGGCTCAAATTGATCACGCTGCTCGTTAACAGCATTAATGACTGGTGCTGTAGTAGTGGAAGTGACAGGTGTAGTGAATATAAAAGCACGATGGCTATGCCAACTTACAGTAATCTCCGAGTCGATATTGTCGAGGGTAAAAGGCTTCCCGCCAGCTAGCTTGAAGTGGAGTATTAATGGCTTGCTCTCCGAAGATGACATACTGACTAATACGGTTGATGAAAGAGTACAAGCTTGAATCGCGAACAGCTCATCAACAGCGTACGTTGAGGACCCAGTTTAAAGGGGCCAGTGCAATACCGAGAGCAACAATCTATCTTTCCGAATACATAACTCTAGAGGAAAGAGGACTGCAAAAACGTGTCAATAGTAGTATGATATGATAGCAGGAATAAAGAGGGACATACTGTGCGCAATACAACTGATCGAGATGATTGTAACAAAGACGATGAACATACGGAGGGTAGATCATCACCGATCAGCCAAGCTTGTCTGCGTCGTCAAACCTTTGAGCACCCTTCTCAGCCAGCAATCTACATTAAAGAACATCAGCCCGATATTCAGGTGGAATGTAGACTACGCTTCGAGCTGATTAACGAGCTGCTTATGCTTGCTTTTCTTCCTATTCAGCAGAGTGTATAGCCCAACCTCTCCATGCAGCCGGTAAAAGGCATCCTTTCCCAAAGGGTTCCATGCCCCACCAAGACTCATCATCATACCATGGATTAGGAGAACAGCCCGGCCAGCCTCCAAGATGATAACCACTCCAATCCATAGTTGGGGATGAATTGAATGGTATCCCGTTTCAGGCTTAGGAACGACCCTTCCTGAATAACTTCAGGCTGGAACAGACCTGTCAGCTTCTTTGTTTTGGAGAGTCACATCTCCAAGCACGTAGATAGATCGGTGCCTGGAGCGCACCCATATGGTGAAGGATATGCTACTTGTTGTTGGAGTATTGACATCAGCCTGCAGGAATACCGCTGAGGGTACGCGAATATATAAACTCATAGCCGGCACGGAACTGTGATATCCACATAGAGATGGTGAAGCCAGCGGAATATTGTACAATAAGATGTAGAGAGGTGATGGTAAAGTTCCAATCATGTATCATCCCCAGAGGAGTACTCATCGTCATCAGAATCGCTGCCCGAGCCGTTATCCGACTCAGCGTCACCAAGAGTCAGAGCATCCGCTTTCTCCTCGAAGAAATGTTCAGTAACGAAGAATCTGGTAATACCATATAATAAGGATTTGTGACTAGAGTCCGGATGACTACCTCAGGCACTGTAGAACTGTAGCATTATATCTATCTATATCGTCACGCATTAGTCGTCGAATGAGCTGTTCCTGCATACTCTCCTTCGGCTGCTCTTGTTGTTTAACGTGATTGAACCTTGTGAGGATGCATGCCTTGAACATCGGAGTATAGCTGCTTCGAGATTGGCAGATGAGGAGATGATTTTAAGGAGATGTTCCATAGTGAGTTACTTGCAGTTGTCTCCATGACGACAATAACCTCTCTCCTGGAAGAAGCGGCATATCCCTTTCTTCGGCTGAATGTGCTCGAAATGGCATGAGTCCTCATACTTGCATCTCCCAAACTTGGCAAAATGCGTACATATTCGTCGCTCTGCAAATTTGGCTTCACGCTGAGGGGAGGATCAGGTGTACTAGACGGTCGAGAAAAAGGACACATATGTGTGCAGATATGTTCGATAGCCACCCATAAGTACCTCAGCTCGTTCTCTCTTTCTCCGTTCCCTATTCTCCCTCATGGACGCCCGTATAGCTTTCTCTAATGTGCACATCTCGCTCACATTAAACGCTTCTTTCGGGGCATCGTTTCGAGCTAGATAAGATGAAAGGTATTATTGCATGAAGGAATATAACTTCGAAGTGGCACCTCTCGAAGGGAAGTTCTTCTTCCGCCGTGCAAGCCACGCATCAGTCTCGGCTTGTGACGCAGTCAGAGATTCCGATTTACCTGTGATTCAACAGCATTAGAAACAATCGAGATTGCAGGCATTATTACCATCAGCAGTTGTGATCAGGCAATGGGACAGTTTATGCGCGGCAACCTAAGAGGACCAACCAATGCAGATTCGAGTACAATACGACAGCCTTGTAGCTCATCCCAGCCCATTACAAGATCAGGCCTCGCACTGTAATCACAACCAGGATGAGGACAGGTGACGTGAAAGGTGAGGACATGCTCATCGAGAGCATCGGCAGTGAATAGATCTCTGAGACGTGGAACAGCTAACCTCTTATCCCATTTGCATGATATGATGTTGCCCTCCCAGATAGCTTACTTTCCACATGGGTTGCAATAAAATTCGCTCTTATGTTGTTCGTCTGACGACCACCTCCCTTTCTTGGCTGGTGGATGGCCCCATTGCCCGGACCCATCACAACCCAATCTGTGACCACTCTTGCCCTTAACGCCTTTACCCTTCCCTTTGATATCATTGTAGTTGAGCGCAGACCCCCATGATCCCTTGCCAGGAGGAGGAGGAGGAGGGTATCCTTGATTCACCCACCAGTCATTACTCGAGCCCCCCCTTCCCAGAGACATTCCATTCCCCACCGCCATACCATCCATTATCCCAATTACTCCCCAATTGAGCAGGAGGAGAAGCAGCTCATCCCCATTCTTCTTGTCCCCAACAACCTGTGGACCATCGAGATGCCTCACGTCTGGGTGCGCTGCTAGACTGTGATGCAGACAGGAAAGGCGGTAGACCCGTCATCGGACATGAGCCAGTGAAGAACTAATGTTGAGCACATATATTCTATAGTGGAACGCAGAAAGAGCGCAATGTAAAAGTGATAAGCAAAGGCACTTGAATATCTGCAGGGACATTTCGGGTTTGTAAGTGAAAGGGATCGAGCAAAGCATATCTCCGGTTCGATCCCTGGGGTCGGCATTTCTTCCGCCCTATTCAGCTCAACTTCACGTCACCGTCATTTTTGCCAAGGCTGTGTAGTTTTAGAGTTATCTACCATGTCAGGCATGAAATCCTCCAACGCGGGGTTGCAGCCTGCCATCCCGATGCATCGGTAGTGAGGGGAGGGTTGGGGACTACATCATCCGTCTCGTGGATCCGCTCGGTGGTTAGTTGTATGAATTTGGTGTTTCGAGCAGGCCGGTTCGGAACCCTGAGAACCCGGTAGTGTTCATGGACGTATCGGTTGGAGGCTCGGCGATAGGCCGTATCAGGATGGAGTTATATAAGGATGTTGCTCCTAAGACTGTCGAAAACTTCCGTCAACTATGCACTGGGGAATTCAAACTGAATGGAGTACCTATCGGATACAAGGGGTCAACCTTCCACAGAGTCATACGAGATTTCATGATACAAGGAGGAGACTTCGTTAAAGGAGATGGGACTGGAAGTTTGAGTATATATGGTGAAAAGTTCCCTGATGAGAACTTTAAGCTTGCTCATGATTCCCCCGGTAATATCATTGTAGATGTATTATGTATACTGCAAGGGCTCCCTCTGTATTAGTTCAAAACTCTTATTCACATTCAGGCTTGCTATCAATGGCGAACTCTGGTCCCAATACTAACGGTTGCCAGTTCTTCATAACCTGCAATAAGTAAGGCAAACACACACCATCGTCATTCACTGTCTAACTCTATGGATCAAGTGTCT